CCTGATGTCACTTTTTTTCTAACAGAGACCCACTTGCTTGGAACCAGTGAAAAGAAATCAGAAATCGTCAAATCAAATCAGGTTTATTGTCATTTTGCTGTACATACACAGTAGTACAGGCAAGATGAGAGAGCTTTTCTTCAGGATCATTTAAGTTTTGCAGAATGAACGTCTGGGATATGCAAGACTCTCTCATTCACTCTCGCTGTCTCCTGAAGGGGCCACTGCGTCCATATAGAAACCATCAGTATTATGCAGAAAGGCAGCATAACAGGACTTTGCATCGCAGACAGGTATCTCATGTAGCAAGAAGCCCAATTAGAACAATTCAACAAGTCTCCGTTCACTGCAGCCACAGCAGGCGCATCAGTATTAACCCAATAAAATGACAGAAATATGTATTTTCTCACCAAAACTTGTGATTATGTGAACACAAACTCCATCCTCCTTTCTTTCCTCATGAGGAGTTCAGTCACTGTGTTGAGCAGGTAATCCGTGTGTTTCACTTCAAACAATAAGTCCTGTTCTATTATCATGGAGGCTAATGCTGAAAGTCGGGCCTGTCCAGTCGTGTTTTTAATTTGATTTAAGGCTGAGAATGTCCGCTTGCTTAACTTAAAAAAAGTAAAACAATACTTTTATGGTAAAGTTTTAGCTTGTGCAGGTCGCTACAGATACAAATCACTAGCTTTGGTTAAGCTCTCTGACCATCCAATCAGAGGATGTGAAAATGCTGACATTATCGTACCCTGGGACCACCAACTCTAAATCTGATTGGTTAAAGCAACAGTTTCATTGCAATGCATTTTAAGCTACAGGTGCCTTCACTTTTGATTCTGACGGCCTCAGGACAGATTTCTTTGACCCTGGCAACACATGATGACGTGACATATGATTGGATGAAAGCTCTAATATAAACATACACTGCTGGAAGCACCACAGCCCAGAGACACACAATGAAATGAAGAGAACAGACTATTGGGAGAAATGTAAAAGAATAATGGGAAAATATTACAATGTGAATCAGCAGAGAAGGCCTTGCTGGCCCTGACGGCACACCACTGCGTTCATGTAGAATCCCTTGACAGAGTGAGAAGCTGACTGAGAAAATAACCTTTCACAACCTCTAAAACTACAAGTTCAGGACTCACAGGTTGTGCTGCTGTTCAACTTCATGAATTTCTTCAAACCCCTGCTGTCAGCTCACAGGAACCACTGTGATTTGGCAGCTCCAGTGGCTTGAGATCAGTTGCTTTGCTTGCAGGCACCTCAGTAGTAACTAGCGTGCAAGGACAGCTCCTGTGGACAGGCTTTCTGTCAGATTCCTCAGCAGGGATTGTGCTATACTCTGCTGACCTTGCTAAGCTTCAGGTTACTGCAGTAAGTGAGCAGAGCAGCATCTCGGTGGCCTGTTGAACTGTCAAATACATCTGCAGCACAAACCATGTAATTGATGAGCTGATTTATGAACTGATTTAGACTCTTATTGAATTCTCATTCTTTTAACAGGAAAAAATAGTTTTGACCTCCTAACCAGAAAGCCTCATCTAGCGCCATGTAATAATTCATTTATTTTAATTTTTCACTCGTGTGTTTTGAGGCGCTAGACATCCAAATTCTCAGTTTTGTATTTGATGCCAAAAGCTGGTCGATTGTAGTATTTCCAGTGGTTTGGCTGTCTGCAGACCGAATGATGTTCCTATTCATCTCACTTGTACTTTGTGTTTAATGCATATAGCATTCTAACATGCGGAAATAAGATGTTAAACTGTTATATTTAGTAAATATGTGGACTCTTCTTGTCCCATTTCAAATCAAATATAGTTATTTATTTCTGATATTTAGGCATCAAACAAAAATGTTCTTTCAGGGTCGGTACTGATTCTTAGTAATCAATCCAATATGCCGTTGCCATAAAAATTCTAATTTAAGTGTCAAAATTCAGCAAATCATAAACTCCACCCCAAAACTTTATCAGAATGTATTTGTTAGTTTATGTTTTACATATGTGTATTTGAAAGAAAATTAACTGATATTACCTGTCACAGTAATATCAGATAGAGCTGTGGGTGGAACATTGCTTAAAAGCACAGAATGGTGACTAATGGTAGAGAGAGGTGGCTGCATCAGAGCCAAACAGCATTTTGTATTTCAAATATTTTAACAGGAATCCGCTAACAACAATAGCAATAATGATTATCGGAATTATCGGATCTAATAATTGGCTGGGACATCAGTATTTTAATTTGTCTTTCAAAAATCGAGGCTTTCGTTAACTTCTCGTCAACTAACACGTTGTCCACTGAAAAACACAATTACAACAGTATCGATCTGTGGATGCCTAGTTGCAGCCTTATCGGAAAATTGCTCTATTAGTTGGGACAACTCATGATGGCTTCGGCCATGAAGGACTTGTTGCTATGACAACTGCTTAAGCCAGCTTTCAGAAACTGTAAAATCACATTAGCCAGATCTCCTTGCGTGAAGAGCAGAGCCCTGGTTTAAATTTCACTTTGCTAGCTGTGTCTCCTGTTTGTATTTTAGTGCACAATATTGTCCTGGGTTGTTTGGTGCTCTTTAAAAATATAACTAGCTAATGTGTACTGTTTCATGAAACTTTCTAATTATTAGTGTGCAGATGTTAAACAGCTGTAGGGATGAAAGAAAGTGGAAGAAAGCAGAATGTTGGCCAGTAGCTATCATTACATGAGTCATACTGGTGTTTACTCAGCCAGACCAACTTTATTCATCCACCTGTCAGTAATCTAGTCGACTTATTCTCTCTCTGTTTTCTGATAGCCCAGCAGGTCTGTCCAGAGTTAGAATTACCTCTGCATGATAAAGTGAGGTGAGGCATTATTACCTCAGCTAGACACTGTTGAAAAGAGATTTTCAGGGAAACGTATTATGTAGTTCTCCATTAATTCCAACTATGATTGTAGCCACTCTCACCATTCGAAGGCACAGCAGGCTTTGATTATAGGCTGCTGTAGATGGTTTGCTGCTGCTCCATACCACAGGCACCATGCTGTTACCTCTTGGCCAGAAATGGGAAGTTGCGTTATGCTAGAATGGTCCGGTAATCACATTGTGACTAATTTAGCTAATTGGAAAGAAGTAGCTTGTGGCATCTAAACCACTTATTATATTCTCTTCGCTCGCTGTTGAGTCTTGGTAGTGGATGTCTGCTCTGTATGCAGGTGCTTGTTGACTGCAAGTGTGATGGAGGTGACGATGACGTGGTTGTTACACCTTCCATGTATCTTCCCTCCTTAAGATCCCTCCATCCCTTATCATCATCATCACACAGTCCCTGCCTAGCAACACCACTGCCTGGCGATGGTGACCCTTGGAAACCACGGAGTTGAACGACCCTCACTTCCACGAATCTCCGTCAGCTTCTGTGCCTCTCCATCTCCTTAACATCCTCTTTTGTTCATCTTTTCACCCTCCCCCCTCCTCCAATCCATTGCGTTTTTTTTCTCAGACACATGCATATGCAAAAGCACTCCTTAACCCCCGTTCAATGCTCATCGACCATAAACTGGAGTCTAAAAACAATAAACCATTAAATACGTTTCTTGGTGTTCTTGAATCTGCTAGACACTCTTGGATTTCTTAAAAGCTTTAGAATTGAATTAGGTTGGGGTGAAGATGATGCCGTTCACTTCTTTTTTTTTTTTTTTCACAGATCAGTAAACATCATTTCTCAAAGAGACGCTGAAACATCCGTACAGAGCATTAGCCTCAGAATACCAGTCACTGAATTTAATACATCAGAAGGAGTGAAATCACTGCTGTCTGATTTTTTTTTTCTTCCTTGCAGTTAGAGCTTAAATTTTTTGAAGAATATCTCATCATGACACACAGATGCCCCCATGTGTACATTTCAATTGTATATTAAGAAATGTTCAGTCTTTGAAGTGTAAGTGATGTGACTGCTGTGCTTGACATTGTGCGTGGTGAAAATGAGAATGTTTTATTAGACTTAAGCAAAAAAAAAAAACAACACACAACTTCATACTGATGGCAAAAAGACATTTTTTGATTGTTTCACTTCAACACATCAGATGCAAACCACCGTGAAAAATCTTAAACTCAAAAGTCGATCATACAGAATTATCAAATCAACTGAAATCAAACATTTTATCATGATATTTGTTTTTTTGCTATATTGCCCATCCCTGTTTAGTTTAGTATTCAGCAGCATACACCACTATCAAGGGATGAACACTAAGGTCATAACAGGTTTCAGTCGAGCTGCTGCTGCACCAAACCTGTTCAGTGTGTTCCTGCTGCTTCTACGTTGTGTTCTAGTAAGCGTCAAGGAAATGGCAACTCACTAGTTTTGGGTCTGAAGGCTTCCAAGAATCTTTTACAGCATTTCCCCCTGTGCAGTAAAAATCTGTTTTTGATTCACATGTCACATTTGCAAGCGCTGTCATCTGACTTTGTGATTCAATGATGCACTGTATTTCTTTTGGTTTTGAAATTTATCTGAATTTAATCAAAGTCAGACATTGTACATTAAGGGAAAAATAACGTCGCCACTGTGTTGCTTGTCTGCAGTTTTGCTCCATGTAATTGTTTTTGACAGTCTGCAACATTCACAAATGGAGCCTTGTGTAGTGTAGTGTTGATAACGAGCAGATTCATTAGTGCCCTTTTGGAAAAACAGTGGCATCACACATACCAAGTGGCCAGCTGGTCAGTTAGTTTGCTAGCAGTTAGTTAGCTCTGCTGACTAAAGCAAGGCTGGAAAAATAGCTCCCTGCTTGGGCTTTTTAACTGGATAATGACTCTATTATTCCCATATTAAATATGAATTGGTCACATTTTATAAATTACTGATGTACCTTTGCAACTCCTACAAACAGCATAGTGTCTGCTCTGTGTGGGAGACATGAGCTTGTAAATGTACCTGATTTGCAGATTTTGTTTTGTTGCTGTTTGTTTAATGTGACTCTTCTTTAATATTGTTTTGTTTTGTTTTTTTTCAGGTGTGGGAAAGTCATGTCTATTACTACAGTTCACAGACAAGAGGTTTCAGCCAGTTCACGACCTCACCATCGGTAAGAGCTCCGGTTCTCATCATCATGTCCCCATCATCACCACAACTATATTCATTTAAGAGTAATGCATCAGCAGGATTTAGCAATGACTCATTTCACACCTTTTGTTGCTTGCAAGCAGTTTAAAACCTAGCTGGTGCATTATGAAAGAAAATACAAAAAGCATCGCACACTTTAAAGGTGGAAGTAATTAGCTGTGCTAGGTTGTCAGTATACGAGCCATACCTTACTGATATCATGAACCTTTGTCACAGGGAAAGATAATGTTGTTTCAGATAAGCAAAGCTGAACTCACACTAGCTGTGATGACATTAAGACAGACTAAGTCACATTTAGCTGAACACACTGTGCTGCATCTGATAAAGCAAGGATGTCAAAATTGCCTCAGTTACAGTGATTATTTATTTCCTCAATCTTAGGAGGCGATGCAGGCCGAGAATGTTTGTAAAGACGTGCTGAAAAATGTCAACATTTCTTACCATCAGATTCCTGTAGCCTTGTGTCACGACAGTGTCACAAAAATATTCTAGTCATCCAAACTGGATGTTGTCAACAGATTTCAAAATAAAAGTTTCTCATTGCATCTATTGCATAATATTCTTATACTATACTTACAGATAGTTAAAACTGCTCATATATCCAGGTGGACCAGTTGTCTAAGCCACAGACTCTCATCAGGCCAACTCATCTGTGTGATCGATGAACGATGCATGAACGAGCTGTTAATCATGCGTTTCGTAATGCAGCTGCATCAGGAGCACCACACCTGCAAATGCAGTGAAGCTCAGAACGCACCAATAAATTGGCTCATCCGGTATTATGATCAGATTTTTGCTTATTGCAGCTTTATCAAATGTGAGCTGCGGTGCCTGTTTTGTTTGTGAGCAAGCCGTTCTTTAAACTGACCACCTCAGCAAGTCTTGGTGCTTTTTATTTGTAGAGTAAAAGCAAAGCTGGCCAGCCTCAAGACAGCAGGAGAGCAAATATGCGATTTCAGTATCAATGTTTAAATTCAGCTGCTGAACATGAGCTGTTTAAACAAAATAAACTGTGTGAATTCAGAGACAGAGAAATGTTTGTGTCCCGCTCTGTCTTTTTTGACATTTTCTCTTCTTTTTGTCCTCTGTCTGTTTGTCACTATGATACATACCAACTGATAAGGCTCATAATCAGTATTTTTTTTAACGTGAGCTCTTTATTCAAATTAAAAACAATTGATATGATACGGTTCATTAATAAGCAGCAGGCCCTTTTGATTAAACCTGTACCTAATTCTTCTGTGTTTTTTTTGTCCCTCTAGGTGTGGAGTTCGGAGCGAGGATGATCACTATAGATGGCAAACAGATCAAATTGCAGATCTGGGATACGGTAATATACCTGTCGAGTCTTTTTGTGTCCCTTTTTGTTGCAGCTTACTCATGAATTTGCAGAATAGCAGACATTTTGCATTAATTTGTCTGTAAAGGAAGTCTCAGTCTTTCACTTTTGAATCTATAATAATGCATTGGATTGTTTTTGTATACGTTGTTTTATTTATTTATGTATAAATATATAGAGAGAGATCTGAAAAGGTCCTCAAAAAGCTCAACATAATTAGGGAATCTCAGGGATTTTTAATATGAATGTTTGAGTTTAAAAAAAAGAAAAAAAACATACGACTTCACATGCTCTGATAAACAAAGGATCTGGGGTGAATTAAAGATTAGATGTGGATTATAAAAATATTACACTCAGAGCCCTGTTAAATAATGAGAAGGCTTGCTCTCAGCCTGGCAGCATTTTTCATTTTAAAAAATAAACTTCTCCCCGTTTTAGAGTTTATTAAAGAGCTTTAGTGATCACCAAAACTAATGAAAACCCAAATATGAATAAGAATTTGATAAGCCGCAGTTTAGGAAAGAACTTTTTTATTTATTTATTTATTTTTTTTTAAAGCTTTTAATGTTGAATACATTTGATAAATGATATTTTTAAGCAATAAATAAACAAAAATATTTATTCCAGAAATGATTTCTGCCTGGAATTACTGTGGTTGCCTTTATGAGTTCTCTACAACATCTTCCCTTGGCCTTATAATATTTTCCATGCTGGTGAAGAAAATCAAGGGTCTCACTTGCAAGCAGTCAAGCCTGTTTGTGTGACTTGTTTCCAGAAACAGCTACAGCGCCCAAGTGTGTTGAGGTTTATCACAGCTCACCATGTCACATTTGATTATTGAGGATATCAGTGTTAAATGAAGTGCGATTCGTCATTCAGCAATACAGTTACAGGCCATTGAAAGTGAGAAACGAACGCACTCAGAAGCTAAGAAGAGAATTAAGATGAATAACGACATTAAATCAATTTCTCTTGAAGCACTGAGGTTTATTGTTTGTCGGAGAGCCTTAACATGCCTTCTTAAATGGATTATGCCCGTTAACAATTTAGGGAAGTAACATATTTTTCAGCAAGAATGAATTTGTAAGATTAAATGATAACAATCACTCTAAATTCAACAATGACTCATCGTCAAGTCAAATGTATCACTGCTGTGTATTTGGTAGGTCATGATGAATACTGGGATGCACTTAAGGTGCCTTTCCAAGAACTTTTCTCAAGAATTAATGTTCACTAGAAGCAAGCTAGTCCTCTGTCCTGTCAGAAGTATGACAGCCTCCTTTGATATTATTCCATGCTTTCTTGTCAGTCTATTGGTTCTAAAGTCTAAAGTCTACGATGCTCTTCCAACCCAATGACTGTTGGCCACAAACTAAAAACAAAACTGCCACATAAAAACTGCTGTACTTAATCAATCAGAGACGTTCAACCCACAACGTGTCTGAGCCCCACCGAACAGGGACTGTTTTGGGAGGGTAAAACTGTTTCCCCAAACTGTTAAAAATTTCCATCTCTAGGAGGGACAACACCTCCGTTTATCTGCCGTCCAACGTGTCATGTTTTGATAACCTGATAAGGACAAAATATTATGTAGCTGCTGTTCAGACAGGTGTATTAAAATGTGAATATGGGATCCTTCTCTTTCATCAGTGTAGTTGCATTAAATGGACAGTGAGTGGTATGAGGCTGATACACATAAAACACATGTGGATTGACAGACAAAAGCCTTGTCTGTTGTTTTCGTGAGCGTTTCCTCTGGTGGGAACACAGGTGGGGGAACGGATTTCCTTAAAAGATTTCTGTTCTCTGCAGAAAGCTCCCATATTGGAAAAGCACCTTTTGGCTCTGAATACGTATTGTGGGCAGGGGTAGGAAAAATGTGCATAAGCTACAGCGTGTCATACTTGCCTACAACCTGCCAGCGCACCTGGTTGCACTAGACAACAAGTGTGAGCATTGGGACAGTCCCAGAAAAGAGGAGTAATGTTGTGACCATGGTTTCCTCTATGTGCAGTTACGCAGTTGGCCAGCAGGTGGAGTCAGAGCTCTATGAGAAAAAACTGTTGGCTGCGTGAGAGGAGTACAAAAAGGAAAAGGCCCGAAGCATTTGAGTCCTGGTACTCAAATCCCCGACTGCTTTCTTTCTCACCTGATACCTGATTGTTCTCACCTGGCTGTGCAGGTGTGGAATAATCCTGGTCAGAATGAAAACAAGCAGGGCACTGTGGCTGTCATTTGATTACTGGTTCGGACAATACACCACCAGCTAACAGCTAGAGAAACCATTTGGATCATTGTGTAGGCTGCACTTGCCATATGAATGTGTGTGTGTGTGTGTGTGTTGTGTGTGTGTTTCTGCACACAAGCCTGTTGGCCAGATGGCAGACAGACACAGCGTTCCCTCTCTTTCACCCTTATTTATCATTTATTCACTAATAGCATTACTGGCTGGTTGACTGCTCCCTGACTTACTGACCGTTCTAGCGGCCTGCTAACTTGGTGTTTAGTTCACTGACTGACCGAACATCTGAGCTCCTTTTCTGCTGACTAGCTTACCTGACTGGCTTGTTGACTGACTAGCTGTCTGACTCAATAACCAGCAGCTTCATTGACCAGGAGACCGGGTTCCTGGGTGACAAACTGGCAGCCCGGTCCTCTGACTTGCTGAATGATTCACCGACTGACTGTGTTCCTGCCTGACTGCCTGACTGTCTGGTTGTTCAGATGAGGTCAGAGCTGCGCAGGGCTTGCAGCTGCTAGGATAGAGTAGTGTTTTGTTTTCTACTCCGGCCTGGACGAACACAGACAACATTGTTACTGTACACTGGACAGAGACAGAGGGTGAATAGACGTTGCATGGTGGAGGGGGGGCTGGTAAAAACGCTAGATGGTGAAAGCAGTGCTGGAAAGAGGGGAGGCCCTGGGATTCATAGAGGAAGAATGAAAAGATGAGTGATGGAAGGAAGACACAGTAAAGGTGAGACAATGAGAGGATAATAATGGCAGGGGGGAGTGAAAGAACAAGGTGACCTGGTGAGCTGGATACACTGTCAAGTATGACATAAATGCTACACGTCTAATCCATATTCTGTAACACCGCAGCTAATGTGACCTTCTGTGTTGATCATAAATGGAGAAACTGGGAGGTAAGACACACAAGCAGAGAGAAAGAAAGGGATTGTGACAGATAGATGGAGAATGAAAGAGAGAACTCCATTGTATCCAGTTACAGGCTCTGCTCTGTCCTGTCCTCTCAGCAGCTGACTGAAAACCCAGATCTGGACTTTGTTAGAGAATCAGGATTGACATATAATATGCGTAGAGAGCTCCTCGAGGACTGGCACATAAACAGGACTGGGTTTGAAGGTGTGTTGCACGTGCATCGCAGGCCCGTGAAGCCAGAGTGGAGCTGCAGCAGAGTTAAAGCTGTTAGAAACCCACAGGATCTGCTGGTGTCTGTAGACAGTTCAATTATTCAAGTTTCAATTTCTGTTTATTAATATATGTATGTGTTTCTCCAGGCTGGTCAGGAGTCGTTCCGGTCCATCACCAGGTCTTACTACAGAGGAGCAGCAGGCGCACTGTTAGTCTATGACATCACAAGGTAACAGCCAATCACACGCGGTCTAAGCTGCATTCAGGACCATCAATATATATGTTCCATATCACATACATACTGCAGCCCTCACAAAGTCCGTACTGTTACAGGCAGTGCGCATACAATTGGAACATACTGCTTCATCATAATATTGCATTGTAAACTTTGTCTGTTGGGGTCTGCAGTGATGAATTAGATGTCACCAGTCTGTATTAGTGGCTGGCCTGTTTAAATTTGTGCAAGATGCCGCGATGTATCTAATGTCGTGGGTCAGAATGGCCAGAAAAGCAAGGTGGCCTTTTCACATTATTAAGACAAACCAGCAAAAAGACAAGAAAGCAAGAAATTGAAACCTATGAATGACAATTTTGCAATAAATCAAGCAAAAACTTTGTGAACACAGAACAACTACAGTACCCATGAAAACACTGCAAGCGTGGCTATTCGGGGACTTTCATCACTTGTTTTCCATGTCCATAAAACTCCCCAATGTTCTTTCTTAAGTTGTTTTTCCGCCTTCTAGTTGTAATTTCTGCTATCTGAAATCAGCGTTCAGTCGAGAGCCGTGGACATTCCAGCCTCTAGAGGGACTTAAGACATTAGGCCGTTTTCCATTGCAGGAACTTGTGGGTTGCACAACCATCCTTGTAGAACCTCTTTCGGGGCTGTTTTCATGGGAGAAAAATGTACCTACTCCGGGGTAGGTACATTTGACTGGCCCTGAAACACTACTGTTCTGGTTTTGACGCTTGATGGTGAAACTCGCACAAGATAGATTCTGATTGGTTAAACTCAGATAGGACAACAAACACCATTTTTTCCATTTTGTCCACATCAAGTTGCAGTCTTTTCCTCCCTAATGTCGCCATCTTCTACATTAAATTCACCACATAGGCGAATATAACAAACCGCCATCATTATATTTCTGACATGCGCACAGAGTTTGGTGCACAGGGAGTCGACGTTGTGGTTGAAGCTGTTGGATCCTACACTGCAATGAAAAAAGAAACGCTAAAAGAACCAACTATGGTGTTGTTCCTCTAAATTTTCCCGCTACTTAGCGCTTGCCTCAAGTTCCTGCCGTGAAAAGCTGCCAATAGCTCAAGCTACAACATAAGGCCAGCCTCCACTTTCCTGATCTGCAGTAATGTCCTTTTAACTGTGAAATGATGTCAAAGCTTCATGGTATTGGTAGTTTATAGCCTAGAGTCTTATTACAAACTGTACCGCTCCTAATGTGCTCTAACATGGACTTGTTAGATTTAACGGCTTAGGGCTATTTTTTTGTATGTGCCAAGAAAAACGAGATGAGCTGTTTGTTTTTTCTTCTGTTGAAATGGTTGCAAAACAGGATGAAATGACATGCACATGATTCACTTTTTTTTACAAGGGAAAGCAAAATCTGTACAAATCCGACCTCGGTGTGTGTGTCTGTGTGACAACAGGTGCTTCATTTGTAATGCTTTCAGTTTCATCAAAGTGCAGTCAGAGTGAAACCTGAAATCTGTGCTTGTTTTCACAGAAGGGACACCTTCAACCACTTGACAACCTGGTTAGAGGACGCCCGCCAACATTCCAACTCCAATATGGTCATCATGCTCATTGGCAACAAGAGGTAAGATTGTTTTTTTTTTTTTTTCTTGCACAGTGAAGGGTACACACTGCCCTACATAAGGCTGGACCATCAACAATGTGTGGCAGCCATCAGTGGTGTGTCAGAACATTGTGCTGTCTAACAATGGCCTGTTTAAAATTTGTCCAAGCATGCTGGGATGCTTTCATGACTGGATCCGGTCCTAATTTTACATTGGAGCTAGTTTTCACAGTTAACCAAATCAAAAATGCTTCTCACTAATTTGAGTTTCACATGTCAATTTGATCATATTTGAATAACTTCTGCTTTTTGCTGCATGTGGTTCACTCTGTACCTGAGGTTACATAACGCACCACTTTGTAAGATAAAGTTATGTCAAGAGAGTGCTGCTGTGTGGAGTGCTAATTCTGCTTTGGTAAATACACACTCGTGTCAAATTCAAATGAGGAAGTTCACTTCTGCAACACACATCAGCTGGTTATTGACAAAACTGCTTGCTCACATTGCACTTGATGTTACATAACAACATTATGTAAGAACAATGACCCAAGTCATGTCAAAAAAGTGCTGTTTCTGATACTATTCCAAACACCTTGAACCTGATTGTAGTTTTGCTGTTTTCAAATGACACAAAGTTTTTCTTAGGATTTTAGGTAGAATTTTTAAATTTGCTCATTAGCATATTAGTCGGCCAGAAGCAAAGCAAAAATGTTTCTTAATCAAAATAACAAAGTCTGAGTCAGGGATACATCATGATGAGCAGATGCTCTGATCCTTCTTCAGTATATTGGACAAAATGGTCATTTATTCTGCAAAGCTCAGTCATCCAGCCATCGTCTTGTACACATTTGGTAAAATATCATTATTCCTACTGCACAGAAGTCAAAGGCATGAATACGATCTGCAGCGTGTCATCTTTCCTACTCTTGGCTGATTTCCTGGCTGTTATTTCCTGATTGGTGACATGTTATGTCATTGCATCAATGTGTTTGTGTGTGTTTAAGTGACCTGGAGTCGAGGAGAGAGGTGAAGAAAGAGGAAGGTGAAGCATTTGCCAGAGAACACGGCCTCATATTCATGGAGACCTCAGCCAAGACTGCCTCTAATGTAGAGGAGGTAATCACATACACACACGGATATACACTCACATGCAATAACCTTAATACATTAATTAAGGCTGCCGGGGTAGCCGAAGTTTTAAATTGCTCTAAACACCGCCACTCTATCTGAGATTTATGCTACTCCTTGGAGGTCAACACTAATGCTTAACTGTTGTTTCTCCCCACATATAAATCTCTGGCCACGCTAGGATTCCACACATATTATCTGCTCTGTCACAGTTATCAGTGCTGCCTGTTGACATCTGTAGCTGAAGTTGGAACTCTATTTGTTTAGAACACAATGCAAGCATGAAATGGCTCCGCAGTAGACTATAATATATCATTGAATATGTCATGATTTATGTCAGGAAGTATATATAATCACCAACGCCCCAGCAGGCTGTGGTGGTGGTTTGTGTAAAGCAAATTGTTAAAGAGAAATCATTGATACGAAGGCCAGATTTATATTTTTGGCCCGTAGTGAAGTAGTTTGATTCATTACATATCCCCTCCAGTACCATCATTACCTTCAATTTGTCAGTTTGTCACTATATAGTAGTAAATGTTAGCATGGTAATACAAGTCGGTGAGCATGTTAAACGCTAAACTTGCTAATTATCGGCATGTTAGCATTGTCATTCTTAGCATGCCGGTGCTAGCATTGGCAGCCTCACACAGCTTCTAGCATGACTGTAGCCCCAGGTTGTACCTCTCATGCATAAACATACATTCAGATCACAGCGATAAGGTATCTCTAGAGTCCCCAAAGACTCTTCTAACCATCTGGATGAAAAAAATATTCTGTCCACTGAATGATAAACAGATTTGTAACCCATTTCCCAAGTTGCGCCTTTGTTTCTGAATCAAAACAAAGATGGTGGTTGCAGACAAAATATTTTTTTCATCCAGATGGTTTTATTTGTATTCAAATTCAGTAATGGATTTGGGGTGAATAAAATGCTCAAATCCCAACCTAATTTCAAAAGCCTATAAAGAATTCATAGACTCCATGCTGTTTGAAAAGGGATGAGAGTCATGCCAGTTCTGTTTATTTAGGTCCCAAGTATTTTTTTAGGCTTCTGAAGTAGTCTTGTAGTTAAGTCAGCTTCTCTTGGTCTTATAAACACTATATTAAATGCTGAATGTTTACTGTTACTGTTTTGCCTCTTAAGTTTTTATGATTCTGATTTTCCTGTAATAACTATTCAATGCATTTTCATTCAGTATTTATCTTGTGGTTTTTAGTAGTCGTAGTGTACTCTGGATTTCTCCCACTCTATTTAGATTGTCTTATAAGCCTTAGGGTTCACTGGAACACCATACAAAAAAGCCTTTGTGTCTAATTGTTGACTTGAGGTTCCTCAAGCTTCCCCAAACTGAACAGAAGCAACACATAGAAGATGATCTCACTATTGTCAGAGGTGGCTACAACTCTGCTGTCCTCAAGGCATGTTGAAAAGCACGTTATCTTAAAAGAATTTCCAAAATGACACCATTTATCTTCTATCTGACTTTCAACTTTTTGACTAATCAACTAATCAGACTGTCTGCACCAGATCCTGCAGAAAACCTACACATTCTGGCCTCCTCGTAGCAACCAAAAAGCCATCAGTGACTCAGGGGCTTTCAGGTGAACTGCAGGTTTACAGAGCAAATCTGAACCAAGTATGAAAGCAAAATAAAGATGTAAGTAGTTAAATATCTCTTGTATGTAGCTCCAACATTTCTTCCAGTATTAGTAATGCCTGTGGGCACTTGGAAAAATGTTGCACACTGTGATCCCAGGTTTGTGAAATCTTTCTAAAATTAATCATCCAAACATTTCAGCTTTAGTTTTATCTTTTCTTATGATTTATGGTATTATAATTTTCATACTAAATACTACTTTGATTTCCCCTCTTTTAGCCATGGCTATGCTGTTACCTGAAAATCAAAAAAGAAGTGAGAGTAGATGGATGTGTAATAGACATAAATACACAAATGTAATAAATAATAAAAATCAAATCAAGCCTTTTTTTTAGCTGTCAAAATCTGTTTTATTTTAATGAACTATCTTGTACGGTTATACTCTCTGTATTTATGACGTCCCTCTGAAAGGATCATCAGACTTGAAGCGAACCTCCTCGTTGACCTGTAGCATCATGGATCCCCATGCCGGAGTCTAACCTTGCCAGCTCCACACATTAGCATCATGAACCACAGTTAGCACAGTGAACACGCTGCTCCGCCCCTCGCAGAGACACACCCCTGGTGTTGTTGTGTGTAATGAATGCATGGCGTTGTCCTGCGGGACCCCTTTCTCACTTATCCAATCACATAAATAATCCCATCCTACACAGCACAGCATGCCAGCCAGGGGCAGCGTGCGTGCGTGTGTGTGTGTGTGTGTTTTGTGTATGTGTGTGTCTGTGTCTGTGTGTGTGTGTTTACATTGATTTTTTTTTTCTACCCACTCTTGCCTGGCCTATATCATGCAAACACCCACACCCACACCACCGTCGAGTAGAGCTCTCTCTGGGGTTAAGATGAAGGGGGAGGGGTGTGTGTTAGTTAGTGTGTGTGTGCATATGCATGTGTTAGTGTGTGTGCGTGTTTGTGTATGTGTGTGCGTGTGTGTGCGGTATGATTAATTTGTCTCATTAGTGTCCTCTGAATCCTCCTGATACCGCTCCTCTCCTCCCTTCCCTTCATCTCTCCTCGCTCCATCCCTCCTCATCCCTCGACGTCCATCATTTGCTCTTTACCTCTCACCTCCCCCCCTCCCACTCGCCACCCCCCCTTTTTTTCCCTTCCTCCTCCCCCTCCTCCATCCAACATGTCTTCCTGCCCTCCTCCATTCACTTCTTCCTCCTCCTCCTCCCCCCTCCTCTTCCTCCCATCATCTCCCTTCCCCTCTCCAGCAGTATATCAACCAGTTATAGTTCATACATATTCATAACCTCCACCCCGCCTCCCCTCAGCGACATCCAGCAGCCAATCAGGCGGCTGGGTTTGTCGTCAGGGTCTGTGGGTGGACACCGGGGCTGATGGGATGGTCCTTAGAGACAGATAGAGAGAGATTCCTGTAAGCATCTTCTCTCATCTCCCCATTTCCATCCTTCCTTCATAGAGATCCAATCTGCAACCTCTGCTCACTTCTGCTTCATTTTTTCCTCTTGTCTCTGTACTTTCTATTTTCTCTTTCATTTCTTAGTTTAATGTTTTTCCCATCTCTTTCCATTACTTTGCTGTCACCCCGACACTTCTTTACCATCTGCTTTTTTTCTCCCCTCGATCTTCTATACGTCTTCTGTGCTTGTTATTATCCTTTAGTTGCCGTCTCGTTTTCATTTCCACTCTTCTTTACGATCTACACATATCTGAACTTCCATTAGCCACACTCAGGAAAAGAAAGTGTAAGACGACGTGAAGGAACAAGGGGTGCAGTGATGCGTTGAAGGAAGGAAAGAGGACAGGAGTGAACAGGGCAGAGTACACTAGAGAGCACCCTTGGGCTCCTCAGTCTATTTCCGACAGGGTGTCAGATAGAAGTTCAGGACATATTTTCAGTTCCCGAACGCACTTTTTCTGGCCTGAAAAAGCTTCTTTTTGTATGCTATTACTTATGTGTGTGGAGTCAAATGAGTCTGCGCCGCTGCACTGTTCCTCCACAGACTGAAGTGTGTGTTATCCAAGCTGATGTCATATCTCTAGTTTGTCCCAGTCGCTCTTCAATTTGGACCCCTGAGACACAAAAACTAAGAGACGGCCCCTGGAGACAAATGCATCGATACCGTAGTCATAGGCCGGTCGCTCAGGGAGCTTAATTCCACATTATTCAATCATCTTTGATCCTGGCAGTGCTGTCAGTAAGCGCTGTTTGTGTGGAGACAGAAGACAGATTGTGTATCGTCTGCTTGTGTGTTCTGCTCAGATCTTATCGCTGATCTGCTCAAAAGGGCAACTGCATCTTATAACAAGGTCTTCAGTCATATCACCTAAACTTATAAAAGCCTTGAAAAGGGCTGAATAGTGTTTACTGAATAAGTGAAGGACTCAAAATCGTGTTTGTCTGAAGCGTTTTAGGTCCCCACAATATGGCATTTCTGCCTACAAAATAATTGCAAATGTATCAGAATTGTGTGCCTCTGTACTTGTTTCTGTACGTTAAGCTAATTTGTTTTTGGGTTAATTTAGTAGTAAAAAGAGTTTAAAATGTCAGAACTATGTAACATGCCTGATGTAACTCCCTAAAGCCCAAGCTACGTATTCAAACTTGTTTTTTTTATTCAACCAGCTGTCCAAAAACACTACATTTTGCATTTACAATCACTGAAAACCAGCAAACTACCAGATATTTGCAATAGAGAATCAGGTAACTGTACGGCTTTTTATTTATTTTTTAATGTCTTGAATGATGAATTGATTATCAAAATAGTTGCTGTGCTGCCCATAGTACAGCTGATTGACTGGAAATAATGAAGCTGACATTTATAATGAGCGTCAATAAGTTGCCACAAACAATTTTTTGCCACAGGGCCCCTCAGAAGGTTAGTGTGACCTTGCAGAATACTTAGACTGGACGAAAATACACCAGTGTGACATCACTGCGGGAAGGAAAGGCAGTTTTCATCTGACCAGAGGGGCAGATTGAGCAAAAGTCTGTGTTTGTATTGGACAGAATTTCAACTTCAATGAGAAATTGTTTTTTTTTTTACTTTCAGAAGTTGAAACAAAAACTGCCGACATTTGTTTTTAAAGACCACATATTAACACACAAGGTATTAAAGTTCTTACTCAGCACCTCATGACATGCAGAGCTACACTCATAAATCAGTCAGGCTCATATTAACTGATAGCAGATGTACTGTTATCAGTGCATTTGTTGGCCAACAACATAATTAAGTTGCAGGACAGAAATACCAAAATACTTCTGGCATAATTTAGGTTGTGTTCCAATTCACATACTCTGTCTTTTTTCCTTTCAGTACATACTGCAGGTCAGCTTATGAAGTATGTACTGTTACATGCAGTATTCATACAACTGGGACTGCTTCAACATAATATTGCGCCTCAAGCTTTGACCGTCTTCCTCATATATCCATCACAGTCTGCAGTGTGAAATGAGCTGTCATCTGTCTTGGTGGCTCAAGCTTGTTACTCGAGCGAGACGTATGTAAAGTATCTTCCGCTGTGCAGAGGATGGTGGGTCGGAATGACCAGAAATGGCATGCTGGTTTGCATGCCGCAAAATGTGACTGAATGTAGTAGTACATAGTGGCAAACGCAGTATGCCAAAACACCAAGATGTCCTGTGTCAGGGCTCCAGACTGACGTTTCTACATACTGGTGCTACCAAAAAATTGGTCACACCAGCACATCATTTAGTCACCCCCCACCTGTATTTGGTACGGCGTTGCCACAACTATTAATCCGCTTTGCATGCTGATGAATAGCTGTTTTTGCATATCCTACAGTCTAAACTCCTGACTTGGTAAACATCTGCTTATCAGTAGAAACAACCATTTACAGATGTTCCCCAAACACCTCACAAGCAGGTTAAATTAGATGCTAGCCAGCCAGCTGCAGCTCACTCAGACAGATGTGTGACCAAGAAAAATGTAGGAAAGTAGTAAAATAAGGCATTCTAGATTTACCAGAGTGATTTCTCTACATGGGCTGTTTTCTATAAGCAGAGCATGTTTTAAACGTCAGCCAAAATCATAACTGCTGTTAATGTTCATTAATTGTTTTAACCTTAGCACTGTCTTAGCCCTTGGGATTAATTGTAGTGGGCTACTTATCTGTCTTAACCAACTCAATGTGTAAAGTGTCACTGTTACATAGTTTGTCCACCAGAGAGGGATGATTTTTGTGTCCCACTCAGAATTTTTAAAATTCAAAATGTCAGTATTGGCCTCAAAAATCCAGCATCTTTTGGGCTGTTATATTTATTTTGCTCTGTTTTCACAAGTAGGACGAGAGGATTGTCTGCGTGTTAAATAGAGAGCTGGAGTCAGGAAGTGTTTTAGCCGAGCTTAGCATAAGGACAAGAGATATGAGGAACCGTTTAGCCATTTCCTAGTTTTCAAGGGCTGTTCTGGTGCTGTTTCTTAACGATCAATAGTTTATTCATCCATTTTGTTTTGAGTCATTCATTCATACATTCATTTTTGTTTTAAATCAGACAAACTCACTGTAGCAGCAAGAAGTAGTTCAAACACATTACTCTCCCTAAAGCCACGACTTGTTCTTCTGTTTGTGTGTGGATTAAATAAACACCCCATAATATCGCTGGCTAGCTAAAGATGTTTAGCTGTTGTGTATTTGCTTCATTAAAAATGTTAGCTTTATTAACATGCCATGGAGTTACTTTTTTTTTGTAGTGAACACAGCTGTGCATAAGCTTCTTTTAATCACTAAGTATTTAAAGTTACCAAAACGTTTTCCATAGTCTGTATATTTCTTCAGTTTCTGCCCATTTCATAGCTCATTTTTATTCACCTTATCATTTTTTCAGTCGTGTATTTAGTATAGTTTGTTCAAGTGCTGATGGGAAGCCTCCACATTCCTGACTTTACTGATGCTACCAAACAGCTGACAAACTCGTGGACGTGCATCTGTTTCATGACCCCCATATTTGGTTATTGTTTGTCTGAGGGGTGTGTTTTTCCACTGACATAACTTGTAAATGCATCGCTGTCCTGCAGCCAACTCTGAAATATAGAATGCCTGAGTTTCTTCCCAGCAGCTGACGTACCTATAGAAAAGATTTGACAATACACTTGGCAAGTTTTGTCATATGTGTGACTAAAACAGAGACCAGTAGTTCACTCTGACGGCAAGAGTTAGGATTCAGGAAGATGAGTTTCATAGAGTTTTGACGGGAATCTTAACCACTCGTTGCACAGAAGCCTTACAGAGAAATGGAAAGTCAAATGGCTGGAAAGTCAAAGCCTGCTTGTGTGACTGAAGCTTCCATTGAATTTGTTTTGCATTCCTAATGATGTGAGACTTCTCTGTAAAAACATTTTCATAGGAGCTGAACAGGCTCATGTATAGAAGTCAACATACAAGTCTAAATTAAATACTCTCTCCTCTCTCTGTCTGTTTCACTTCCTGTCTCTATCTCAGGCTTTCATCAACACAGCCAAGGAGATCTATGAGAAGATCCAGGAGGGAGTGTTTGATATCAACAATGAGGTGAGAAGCAGCGTTCTTCAGTGTCTTTCTTCCTCACTAAACCTCCCCGTTCCTCTCTCTCTCTCTCTTTTTTTTTTTTTAAAGGCGGTCTTCTCCTCTCTTCCAGTCTTTGTTCTCCTCTTTCCCTCCCCTCTTTCTCCTCGGTGTGGTTTTCCAGCAGTGTGTGTGGTTTGCCACGCTCCCTCTAGCCTCAAAAAGAAGGGAAAAAACCCTCCTCTCGGCTTCCTTTGAGTCCAGCCAAGCAAAACTCCCTGCGTTCCTCCTCTCCTCTGCTCTATTTTCCACTCGCACTCTCTCTCTCTTTCTATCTGTCTCACCCTCTCTCTCTCGGCATCTTGCCAGCTCATAAATTCCTCACATCCCACAAGGTCTCAGTCATTCAGCAAGAAAACAAACAGCCAGCCAGCCAGCCTGTAAGCTGTCTATCCAGCCAGTTAGTAAGTTTGCCATCCAGTCAGCCAGATTGTTATCTTCTCGGTGAAACAGCTATTCAGGCAGGAAGGTCGTGGCTCCCGGCCTGTCAGCAAGTTTGTCAGACTCTTCCACATTAAAGTAACTAAATCCAACACAGATCACATTAAATTAAAAAATAAATAAAATCCTGGACTGTCCACTGAACTGTAGGTTTTGTCATCCTCCCATATCTGTGAGAACGTTTTTTTTTTTGCAGCCCAGAATTTATGAGCATGACTTCAGAACATAAGCACAGTCTGAAAATAAACTTAGGATTTTTCTGACTGATGTTGCAGTTGAATTTGATTTGTGATGTTTTGGGTTTCTTTTTTTCATCTCAAGCTGCAGTTCAATATATTCATTATCTTGACAGAGCGTTGAGATGCAACCCAAAGTATGACAAGAAGACAACATGAATCTGTAAAGACGTTGACATGGCAGTTTACGTCCTGGCATTTCTGATTTGCTAACTGCATCTCTTCAAATTCCGATTTGAAATCCTCCCGTCCATCCTGTTTGTGTTCCTGACTCGACTCTGTCTCCACCCGCTCAGTGTCAGCTCCAACAGACTTGCGAGCCGAAGTTCACTTTTGTTCAGCTTTGACCGTTTGGATGTGCACGTTAAGCTACAGAAATGTCACCGCGCTATGCACCAATCATTCTGTCAGTTTCATAAAACAAAAACATTCACCTGATCTTCCCAGATACCCACCAGTGTCCACTGTGGCTGCAACTAATTATTTAAATGGTTCATTTGTCTGTCAACATTTTTCTCTATTGATGATGCGGTCTACAAAATGTCAGAAAATGGTGAAGAATGTCCATCAGTGTTTCCCAAAGCCAGCGACGATGTCATTTAATGTGTTGTTTTGTCCACAATCCAAAGATGTTCAATTTACTGTGAGAGAGAAGAAAAGAAACCAGAAAATATTTGGATTTGGATCGTGCAGTAGTTTTGTTTTCAGTGAATTATCCATTTTAGTGACAGTGCTCGTCTCCCTGGGGGCAAATGTTCCACCAAAACTATTCCCCAGACATTAGCAAGATGCTTACACGCTGCCTCAAGCCTTCACTTAACTCCCCTCAATGTGACTGTTAATGGTTTTATAAAAACACACACAAACAAGCCAGAGATTTTTTCCCACTATGATAATTGGGTGCAGGTGGCTGTGTGAGACTAAATCAGCCTGAATTTGTGACTTCTCTGTACGGGTCAGTCAACCGGCCACCACGTGGAGCTCACGCTGAGCACATGGGTGTGTTCCTCACAACAAAACAAGAGAAAGACAGCGCTACAAACCTACAAGTGAAACTGCACTGATGGCTTTAGTGGTGTTCATGGTGGCCAATTAGGCCCCTCTGAACCGTTTGGTTACTGCTTGACCGGAAACGTACGGAGTGGTGACCGAGGCTCACTGAACTGTGCATGTGTTGTATGTTTAGACTCCCAGTGAGAACAACACCAGCCTGATTAGCATCAGTGAACAATGCACGCTGAGGTTAATGTGACGTCGAGTGCGGTTGTACTCTACGCTTGCTATCTAGGAATCCAGATGTTTATCTTCTCAACCTGTTGAGCGCACAGTCTGCTTTCTGTGGCTGTGAGTTCATGTAAATCACGTCATGGTCACCCACACACCGTCCTGTAATTTTAGGCCCGGACGCACCGACAGACGTGTGAAAGCTCTCGTATATGCTGACAGCCAGCGTAGTTTATAAACAGAAGCAGTGTGCACGTCCGCTGCCGGTGTCCACATCTGTTTTGGAGCCCTTCAGCCAGCCAGCCAGCAGCCCAGGCGCTGGGCAGACAGGGCCGCAGCCAGCCAGCCAGCCCGTGTTTTTGTTATTAGTAACAGTAAGACAGAGTGAAGGCAGGCCGGCCGGCCAAACCACATCAGCTGACTGGCTGAGAGCGAGAGAGGGAAGCCCCACCAGAAATGTTGGCAGCGACTATGAGAAAACACTCACACACACATACTCACACACACACATGGCCTTAGCTCAATAAATGTGATTTAAAGGCATACAGTGTTTCCCAGAGGCACTACTGCTACTGAGTGTAGGAGGGGGAGTTACACTGAGAGGGAGAGAGATAAATATATACAGAGGGAGAGAGCGAGCGAAGCTGAGAGTAGCTGCAGCCACAGAGAGAGAGATGATGAAACACAGAGCGAAAGTGAGCACTACAGTACAGAGAGAGGGAGATGAAAGTGTCTCCTTACCACCCACCTGCCTGCCTCCCTCGCTCTCCCTCCATTTCTCTTCTTTTATATGTGCTTTGCTTTTTTTCTCCGGGTGTCCTTGAGTGCTGCTGGTGTTTCCTTTGCCTTTGTGCGACGCAGCAGCACCTGTTGCTCCCTCTATGATGTGATCTAATAGGAACCCCTGCAGGCGCCGTGCAGTGTTAATCTCACCATGAAAGCAATAACACACAGTCAGTCTGGAGTGTTTGTATTTAGTCAGTGATTATAATGACACTCCTTCTTTTTTTTTTTTTCTTTTTTTTTTGGCTGGAGCTTCTATTAAATTTTTTGTTGTCATGGTTAAGGGACTCTGAGTTGGAGTTTTATTGAGTTTGTCCTGGAAAGTAATGTGCAGAATAAGAAAAAAAAACACTATTTAAAGAGTACACAGCAAAAAAACAAACATCCCATAAGAAAAAATAGTGGCCGCAAGGGTGACAAAAAAAAAAAACGTAGAATCCTGTGACATTGGAGAACTTAAATTAAATAAAATAATAGCAAATATCAGTCAAATT